TGATGATAGCAATGGACCTCATTTTTCTCCCTCCTGGAAAAGGCAGAGGACCTTTGAGGACATTGACCTTGAAGGCTCTTCCCCTCGAGAGCTCCCACAAGATTCACCCAGGCCACAGGAGGAGCAAGCGTGCAGCAGGCTTGGAGCAACCGTGTAATCCCCTCATACTCCTCCCTCACAAACTCACCTTCTCCTTCCTCTCGCAAGCCCTAAATCCCTTCAAGAAGCTCCCTCTCAAGAGTTCCCCTCCTTTGTCACGTTCCTCTCTTTCTTCAAAAGACAAAAGCATTACTTAAATATCAGGCTCTAAGAAACCCCAAGAATTTCAATTTACTCATTTCTGTTCGTATAGTACGATCGCAGATGGTAAAATACGATCAGTTCAAAATAGCTTTCGTCATGGTACGAAGGAGTACGAATAGGCAACAATTCTCAAATACAACGTACAGTACGATACAAATGTCGTCCAGTACGATGAGGTAAACTTCTTCTATTCGTCCAGAAGGAACGCTAGGACAACCAAAATTCATCTATATTCATCGTATGGTATGATCCAACTCATACAGTACAATGTGGTAAAATATTCAGGTCATCCGGTACGATGTATACATTGTATAGTATGATTAGTTTAAAAATCAAGGTTTCGTCCGGTACGATCTTCGGGATGGCCAAAAATAACCTTGGTTCATCGTACGGTACGAACCGGGGCGTACAGTACGATCATCAATCATTAATTAAGCCTTGATTTAATTGACTAATCATAAGGGTTAATTTTAGTAAGTATTCAAATATTCGTGCAGTACGATTAGTTCAAAATTCAACGATTTAAAAATACGCTTAAATTAATCTGGCAGCTAAGGTTTCAAATTGAAAACGAATCGTACAGTATGATGATTATTGTACAATACAATTAGTTCACAGAAGATAGCTGTTGAGCCATAGTGTTTTGTACAGTATTATTTAAAATTGTACAGTACGATCTACAGAAAAAAATAATTTTTTTCCTTTAAAAAAAAACTCTCCATATGTGTGTGCGTGGTTACTCAGTTTGTATACACTTTTTATGGCCAGACTCAAGAAACAAAAAAAATAAAAAATACAATATGTTACAGACTCCTTCACATCCTATTCTACCCAGTCTCGAGTCTTTTGTTGTCTTGAGCAGTATATGATCTCCCTGAAATGTTAGTACTCACAGACGAGAGTAACATTCAAAATATTTAATGAAGAATAATACAATTCAATCAACATTATATGTGATCATCAAAATCTCATATTAGAGGTCATAAACTGCAACTTTTTTTTTGGTTTAGTATAGGTCAACAGTAATTAAGGGACATCCCAACTTATGAAATAGCCATGGTTTCTCTGAAAACCCTAGTTCGTGCCCAACAAGGGGAAGGAGGGCATTCTTGATTGAGCTCCAGAGTTTGGAGAGAGGAGAGACAAAGGATAAAGAGGACATTCCAGACATGGTCCAACCACTTCTTTAGTAGTTCAGGGAGATATTTCAGCTTCCCCAAGGATTTCCACCCCCTCGGGAGCACGAGCACTCTATCATTCTGAAGGATGGAGTCTTTTCCATTAGTGTCTAGTCATATCGCTACCCTTAGATCCAGAATGATGAAATTGAGAGATTGATTAGGAAGATGCTTCAAGATGAAATTAATAAGCCCAGTATAAGCCCTTTCTCTAGTCCTGTAATGTTGGTGAAAAAGAATGATCGAAGCTAAAGGTTTTGTGTAGACTATCGTGCCGTGAACAAGGAAATTATACCAGAAAAGTTTCGCATATCAGTCATTAATGAGTTATTAGATGTGTGTTATTCTCCAAGATCGACTTGAAATCCATATACCACCGACCAGAATGTGACCAGGCGACACCCACAAGATAGCTTTTCGAACACACAAGGGACACTATGAGTTCTTGGTGATATCTTTTGGCCTCACTAATACACCGGCCACCTTTCCATCTGAGGGAGATCACTTAGAGCATTTGGGAGTTGTGTTGTTCACTTTAAGAGATCCCTCTTTATTTTTCAATAAGAAGAATTGTTCTTTCGCCCAATCCAAAGTGGAGTATTTAGGGTATGTGATATCTCAAGAGGGAGTGGTAGCTGACTAGAGTAAGATCGAGGCCATGCTTAGATGGCCCGTGACTAAGACTTTAAAGGAGCTAAGAGGATTCTTGGGACTCATTGGCTATTACCAAAATTTTTTTAAAAGATACGGAACAGCTCAAGAAGGGTAACTTCAACTGGGGACAGTCAGCCATCCCAGCTTTTGAGGTGTTGAAGAAGGCTATAACCATTATGCTAGTAATAGCTCTTCCAGATTTTAGCCAGCCCTTTCTAGTTGAGATAGATGCCTCGCGTTTTGGGTTTGGAGCAGTGCTCATGCAGAACTAGAGACCAATTGCCTATTTTAGTCAGGTGTTGACGTCCATGGCAAGGCTCATGTCGATCCATGAGAGGGAGTTTATGGAAATCATGTTGGCCATTAAAAAATGACAGCCTTATTTATTGGGAAGACATTTCGTCGTCAAAATTGAACAGAGGAGTTTGAAGTACTTGTTGGAGCAAAGAATAGTCATTGAGGAGCATCAAAGGTGGCTTTCCAAATTATTGGAATATGACTTCGAGACTCTGTACCAACTTGGATTTGAAAATAAAACAGCATATGGTTTATCCAGGTGCGTGAGGGAACCACAAATGATCGCATTGTATGTGCCCTTGGTGGTTGATTGGGAAGCACTAAGGAGAGCGAATGAACAGGATACAGGGTTGAGAAAAATTAGGGAGGAGTTGGCAAAAAATAAGGACAGCCATCTGGTATATTCAGTGCTGGAACAAAAGTTGCTTCATTATGGGCGTTTTGTGCTTCCAAATACCTCTTCTTACATTCTCTGCTTGCTTTAGGAGTTTCATTGGACGGCCATTGGCTGGCATTCAGGGGCTAAAAAGACATATCGCCAGATCTCTGCAGAATAGTATTGGGAGGGTATGTAAAAGGATGTCGAGAAGATGTGGCTAGCTGTGATATAAGCCAGAGGTATAAGTATCTAGCTATGTCTCCAGGAGAGCTCCTCCAACCGCTAGCTTTGTTAGAAAAGGTGTGTGAGTATGTGATCATGGGCTTCATTGAAGGACTGCTAAAGTCAAAAAAATACACTATAATACTGGTGGTACTAGATCGGTTAAGTAAATATGCTCATTTTATTCTCCTTCGCCAACCTTACACAACAGTAACAATATCCATGGTTTTCATGAGGGGGTAGTAAGACTACATGGGATCCTGGAATTGATTGAATCGGATCGAGACAAGATTTTTTTGAGCAAGTTCTGAAAGGAATTGTTCAAAATGCAGTGCACCATTTTGAAAAGGATCTCAGCTTATCATCCTCAGACGAACGAACATACAAAGGTGGTCAATTATAGTGATGTCAGATACACCAAAGTTGTGGGTGAAATGGTTGGCTTGGGCAGAGTATTCGTATAACACTTTCTATCATTCGGCAGCTCAAACTACACCGTTCGAAGTGTTATACAGAAGAGATCCACCTCGCTTCATACCGGTGGCTTCAAAAGAGCAGTACTTGGAGGACAGAGACGAGATCTAAGAGAAGTTGAAGGGGCATTTGTTGAGAGCTCAACAAATTATGAAGTGGAAGACAGATGCTCAAAGGAGAGACATTCAGTTTGAGGTGGGGGACGGGTTTTACTTAAAGCTTCGTCCTTACAGATAGAAAACTTTGGCAAGGAGATTGAATGATAAGTTATTGCCCCAATATTTTGGTCCATACAAGATAGCGGAGCTCATTAGGGTCGTGGCATATCGCCTACAGTTACCGCCATCATTAGCCATCCATCCGGTATTTCATGTGTCCTAGTTGCGAGGAGTGATAGGAGAGCACAATCCATCTTCTTCACTTCCCCCGACCTTGACGGACAACATGGAGATGTTATTAGAACCATTGGAGGTCAAAGGAGTGCAAAAGGGAGTAACAGGAAGCAAAGAAGTGTTGATCAGGAAGGACCTACCAAAGCACAAGGCCACATGGGAGTCCTATCATATTATTTAGCAGCAGCTCCCTAAAACGTTAATTCATTATCTGGGAAGAGGAATTAAGGAAGAGATTAATTATAAAGGATTTCCTAATTGAAAATCAAATTGAAGAGGAAAATATATTAGGAAAGGGGGGCTGATTAGGAAGGGATTAATTAGGAATGATTTCCTAATTGAAATTCAAATTGCAGAGGGAAATATATTAGGAAAAGGAGTTGATTTAGGAGGGAAGTAGGAGAAGCTTATTTAAGGCTAAGTTTATGGTTTATTTTGTTTTATGCATAATTTGATTGGAGAGTTATTGGAGTTGTCTTTTCACGAGTGCTTCCTAGCAGCATCTAGGTGGTTTGAAAGAGCTGATCTACCCCTCGAATTGTAGATCACATGTATCTTGCTTTCTTATTGAAGTTATAATAAAAAATCAGCCACCTATATTCGTATTTCTATAATTTTTCCATTGTGGGTTTGTTATTTTTGTCTCCAAAGCGTATCAGACAACTACCACATGTGATTTTGGATTGGGTTGAAATCACATTAGCAGAGAAAAATTAATAAATATAGAATCAATTAATTTGTATGATCTGTCGCATCATTCAGATAAATTCCAGTAAGGCATGACCAGAACATTTTGGGGCATGACAAGAACAATATTAGTGGGACAGGAATCCAACAATCAACTGACATGTTTAATAGGATCCAAAGCATGTTATTAGAGCAAAATAATAAACATGGCTACACGACATAATACTATCACCATATATTATTAGAGCAAAATAATAAACATGGCTACAAGACAGAACACTTCTCCTTTCACGTTTCATTTTATATTGTTAGAAAATCATGCAGTAAATTTGAACTTATATTAAATAAGAAGGACTGAGAATGAGGAATAGGCATATAAGACATAATACTATCACCATATGATTAGTATAATACCTGCATCAGTTGCATGACACCTAGATCAAACATCCACAATCCAAGCCGTGATGCAGCAACTCCACCCATCAGCATCCATGCTGAAGTAATGCTGTTGTTTATCCAAATGGACGCCAAACATGCTAAAAGGAAACACCACTGAAGCAAAAGCATCAATCACCACATTTTTCTTCTCCATGAGTTGAAAAATAAGAGAAAATACAATAGCAAGGTCATGTAATCCTGGCTACAACATAAACCAAAGGACGCTAATTTACTAAATTTGACACAATGACCAATTTGTTTTCTTCTACGAGTAAAGGATACCAACCATCTATGTTTTCCTATTAGATTATGCAACTCAATACATGCAGCACAAATATTGATCTCCCATTTTTGGTTTTTCACAAGTCACTGGAAAAGTGTTCTAAAGAATCTTTCCAACAAGAAGTTTTAAGGAACAGATAATAAAGATTTTGGATTTCCTAAAAACATCAATCAGGGAATTTTAGCATGCTTTAAAAATATAAATGTAGAAGCAATTGATTTTTTCAAGCATTAGAAAATAAGAATTCAAAATAATCACCATGCACAGCTTCCTTAAACCAACAATTAGTTAGCTAAACCTTTAGAAAATTAAAAAAATATTAAATATATGTGAAAAAATATTTCACCAAAACTACAAATATCCCGCAAAAACATAAGACAAGAGAAGAAAGAACACATAATACATAAAACGTGGTGATAAGAGTTGCTCAAGCTTTAATTTTTCAGTCAAATTTTGGCCTTTCATATCTTGAAGAGCTCAAAGATATCAAATGATTCTTTTTCACTTTCCATCTAAACAGGGTTATGAGAGCGATAGCCAATAACATACATAGAAGAGTTACCTGAGTCCATATAGACCATAGTCCAGTCCGTAGTGTTGAAATTCGAGAATGCACTATTGGATAAACAACGGTTGCCATTATTCCTATAATGGCACTAATCCCCCGTGCTATGCCAATTACATAGGCCGGAATGCCTTTCCACTCCAATGTCGCTGTCATTAGTGTCCCAAAACTGGCAAGACAAACAAACGCATAATTATCATTTGTTTTTCCCATAGACAATTTGGCTGATTTTGGCCATATGAGAAATTTCATGAGAACATTATCCAGTAGCATAGGTTTATGTATATATATATATATATATATATAACATTACCAAAAACAAAAATATTTATGTCCTGATCTACATGATAATATCAAATGCTAAATTTGTTAAGGTGAGTCGAATTTGTCTAAGTTAGGCAAATTTGATGGAAATTTGCAAGTTTATACTCATCAAGAATGTGTAGCAAATAAATGATAAACAAGTTTAGTTTAGTTTCATTATTTGATTGCTATTTAATTTTGTAGCATGTTTTCAATTTTAAGTGTTTAAATATGTCTATACTGGCGTGCCTATGAGAACATGTTTTCTCTTTTATTATGATATCCTTAGTCTGCTGCACCTTTGGTTTGGTTTGGTTTAAGTGGATGTGTCGGTACGGGATGTTGTTGATTTTATGATCTCATGGACAAGTTTTATTGAAGCTAGTTAATTTGGCTGCTAATAAAAGAGATCAGGTTTTTTAAGACTTCATGATCAGTAGTAATGGCTATAGCTTTCATTCTTGTAGAAGTGTTCAATCCCTACCGCAACATCCGTTCATGGTCCTTGTAAGGTAGTAACGGCTCTTGCAGTGACTTACTGACTTGGAATTTCTGGCTCCCATAGAAACTTGCAATCTTGGTGGCTCTTGTGGTGACTTACAATCACTATCGGAATTTTGGATCCTATAGTGATTTGCGTGTTTACCCTATAGACTGGAAGTTACCGACTATGCTGAGAACCGAAACTTGAACATATACCAATAATAAGTGAACATAAGAGGCAACTCGGACTTTGGATTTCAAGTTTTATTTTGAAGCTTATAAATAAAATAATTTTAAGGCGTGAAGAAAAAATTTTAGCTTAATAAGCTTCCCTCTTCTATTCAATATTGTGTGCTTGAATGGATGTTTGTACTTTCCATTGCAATGCACCTATGATGCACAGACATGGATATGCCACAACATAGACATGGGGACACGTCATTGAAAATATAGGACTCGGACACATGTTGTACACATTATTATAATTTTTATATTTTAAACATAGTGTATAAAAATTGAGTAAGTATAATATTAAAAATAATTTAGAAATAATTAGTCATTTAACTAGAATTTATGTTTAAAATAATTAATATAAGGATGTCAAGAATCAAGATCTCATGTCGTATATCAGGCATTGAGAGAGGAAATGACAATGCCGAGATTCAAGCATTAGTATTATGTAGTAAGTATCGAGTGCAGATGTCAAGAGGACGTCTGTCGTCAATTTTGAGAGGATGTTGGTTGTTGATGTTAAGATGACGTCGAACAAAAATAAGTTGTCAAGTTACGGTGGAGAAATTGCTAGTGTCGAGCATCAATTTCAAGACAATGTCAAACTTTGATGTCAAAATAGTTTTAAAATATCGATGTTGGCACGACATCATGCTTCGATGTTGTAACGACAAAAACTTCGATGTTGATATGACATCTGATATTATTATGAAACCAAAGTCGTGCCCACCAAATAGAATTGAAAATGAGAATATTTGATGAATGGGGTATTAAGCACGGGAGATTGATTTGGTGATGTGGATAGGAAATAAAAATTTAGATTTTATAGTTTAAATAAATAAAAATTGTATTTGATATTCTTTTTATTGGACATATTTTTGGCGTGTCCAACAAGTGTTAGAGGGGTGTCTGACATGTGTCGTGTCGGATATGTGTCGGACACTGCACGCCTCTTTGAGGATAAGTGTCGGTGCATCATAACAATGCACATGTGGCTATTAAGGGTGTATGTGAGCCGAGCTGACTCGAGAGCCGGCTCGAGCTCGACTCATTTATAGGCTCGCAAGCCGAGCTTATTGAGCTCACGAGTCGAGCTTGAGCTCAAACCCGTCGACTCGAGCTCAAACTCGAGCATCTTTATTAAACAAGCTCGAGTTTGAGCTTGGTAAAGCTCGGCTCGCGACCCGGCTCGAATCACTATTAATAATTTTAAATAATTTTTTCATTTAATAAATTTGAATATTAGTGAAAATGAATCAAAAAAAAAAAATTAAATCCCACCTAAAATCGAGCGGATTGGCGGACGACTCGAGAAGTGAGAGAGACAAGTGATCTCATTTATGGGCTCGAGGAGGACCCGCAGAAGACAATCGGACCGCACTAAGCCCGAGGGGGAACTGCAGGACTCAAACGCGCTCGACGACGAGCCCGTGAGGACTACAAGAATCGGACGCAAAGGCGGACGACTGCTAGACTCGAACCCTAGCGAGGCTCGCGAGCCAGATTGAGCTCGTATACAGTGAGACGAGCTGGAGTTCGAGCTTGCCTATTGAGCTTGAGTTCAAGCCGACTTTCTTACTAACGAGCCGAGCTCGATAGTGTCAATACTTGACTTGACTCAACTTATTTCCACCCCTAGTGGCTACAAATCTCTAAGAGAGGTCATATCCTTCAATTGGCAGAAGGGCTAATTTTTTTTTTTTTTTTTTTCTGATTACATTCCTTGTTCTCTTTACTTACATATAATTCAATATTGTTATTTACAAGCATGTTTGAATATGGTCACATATGTTACCATTAGATTACCCTTTGTAGTGTGCATTTTAATTGACACACATTTTTGGTGGTTTTAATCGCTCAATGATTTTTTTTACCACCATTAAATTATCTTTTGACATAATTTTTTTGGTATTTTCTGGTTTGTATCAAAAGATGACAAGTTCTTTTAATTGGTAGTCTTTGGAACAACAAACTTCTAAAATTCATTTGCGCACATATTGCATCGTTTAATTTTAGTAGGGATCCAACACATTAAGATGATCTATAACAACTCAAGAACCTGTCTAACACATTCTGCAAAACGAATTTCCAAATCTCTATGGTTCAACCAAGACACATTTCAATGAATATTCCAAGGTTTAGACATTCTACTCAGAACATGTTTGATTAAAATAAAAGAAAAGTGCGAATGTAATTTTTTGTGGTATTATTAAATTTTGAGGACGCTTTCAAGGGTTAAATAAAAAAGTGAATCTTGTTGAATAAACAAACGGAACTAGTATTGTAAAAGATATTGAAAGGTTGGTAAAGCCAAGGAAGATGGAGGAAACCAACCTTAAGACACTGAAATAAAGCAAAGCCAAAGCTACTCCTGGAAGCACAACATCTTGATTAAAATAAACAATCCAGGCATCGAAGCTAAGTAGCTTTGACAAGCGTTCAGTGATTTTCCTTTTCCAATTAGTCCTTTCTTGTTCCAGGGTTCCTTCTTTAGAAATGTTAGTCAATTCCAATATTCGAGCTCCTAAAGAATCATTTGAAAAGACTTCTATTTTTCTGCTTTGCCTGTTTTCACTTAGAGCAGGAAAGCCATTGTACACAGTTATCCAAAGCCAATACTCTAACCATACTGATAAAATATTCCACAATGCTAGAATCACTGCCGATGCTACCAATGATACGAAGCTTATGATGAAGCCCGTCAAAACTGGTGCAAAAAGTTTGCATATTAAATCAATCCTTCTGATGATGGAGTTCATTCTTACAAGAACTTCAGGAGGTTGCCCGTTGGAAATAACAACTACCCTGAGATCCAATGGAAAAACGAAGTTTTTGAAACATTAAGCAACCAAATGATATCAGTATCGTCTGAATAAAGGACTATTGATTTTGAATTAAAATCTGCTTGCCATGACAGAAAGGAATTCAAAAAAATGAATAAGTTATCCAACAATATTCCATATAACAGCCTTTGCATGTTTGTGGGCTCCGAAAATTCGGCCTCGGTCTCCACTCGCTTTTCTTATTCGGCGAGGGAGTTTTAACGAACTAAGTTCCGAGGTAAATTTTGGAAGGCAGATGGGTTTGTAGATAAGACACTACCCAGAGATTTCGCCCTCATTTTGTGAGGATTTTATGATCTGAGTTCTGGTTTCCTATAGGCGCAAGCCCCTATAGTTAATTACCCCTCTCGATCACGAGAGAGAACTTTCGATTAAGGCTAGTCGTCAATCAGATACGTATAGAAATACGTGCATCTGGCATATAGTAGCAGCAATGGATTTAGATATTGGTAGAAATTGGATTTGGAAATTGGATTTTGATTTGGGTATTTGAGAACTGGATTTGGATTTGGGAATTTGGAGAATTTGATATTTAAAGTAGAAATTTCACCATCCTGCACTTAAAGCTGATGGTGGGGGAATGGATGATGGACCCGATCAAGATCCCATGGTTCCGTCATCCCGGGCCATCGTGGTCCCTGGTCTACTTAGTCAGAGGAGGTAGTCGACCCAACCTGACAGAAGGATCCTTGTCGGCAGCCATGGGTTGCTTCGTCCAAGGGAACCTTATAGACCGGGGTTGAATGTTTGTCTAAGGGGACAAATTTAAATCCACCTTAGCTAACAGAGGGCTTTGTGCCCTATCGATCATATCCTATTGATTCATATCTCAAGGATTTAACGCCATTAAGGAGCGTATTGGCTCTGGCCATAACCGCTATCTGTGGTGCCATTTGGCGGCAAAACCACTCGGTTCAGAGGGCCCCGGGTCATAACCGTTTACCTGCAGTGCCATTTGGCGGCGAAACTGCCGGTTAGAGGACACGTACCACGTCCTTACTGGCAAGAGATTGTTTGAGAATGGATCCTAGTAATATTTTTGACTAGGCATTTGGCTCTTTGTGAGCTAGAGTAAATTTGAATTTGTCCGCCTCGACAAACTGTTGCGGAGGGCGAATGGATTTTGCTTTAACTGCGTTGATGGATTTATTTCAATTTTAAATATTTTTGGGATTTTGGAATTTTT